AATTTTCACCGTATTACATCTCGGTCCTTCATCACATCCAAAGTATAGAGGACTTATTTTAATCGGGCAAAAATTATCAATCCAGATTTATCAAAATTAAGAAGTTTTATGCGTAATCCATTCTGAAAAACTGGGCTTTGCAATCCTGTCCGTATGTCTGTGTGTCTGTCTGTGTATCTGTGTGTGTGTGCGTGTAAACACGATAACTTGAGTACCGTTACAGTTAGGTTGATGAAATTTCATATATAAGTATTTTATCAAAATCGTAGATCCGTATCAACTTTTGAGCGATTTCCGATAACCGGAAGTGGTACTTTTTCTACTTTGAATTTTTCAAAAGCATATAACTTGAGTACTATTTCAGAGAGATAAATGAAATTTCACATGTGAGTAAAAGATCTAATTTTCTACCTTCTGTTAAATTTTGAGTTATTTCCGTTGACCGGAAGTAGTAATTTACGCTACTTCCGATTTCTCAAAAAACTAATGTAAATTTTTTAAGTACTAATAATATTGCGCACTATTATGCACTTTTTTATTTGGCGTTCACTTGGTGTGCAATTCTTTTGTCTACGAGATTTTATTCTATTTTTAAAACTTTAAGTATTTAAAATGGATTAAAAATCATGTCTATAGCCCGAGTTCCCATCCCCTGTTGTTTTATATTAGAATATTCGAGAAAGTTTAGGGGAGATCACTCCCGGTTTATTTTTAAAGATTTTTATATATCATATCAAAAAACAATTATAAATATAATATACACATTATAAATATTAACTATAAATTTAAATATTGGCTAAATTTTAATGTTTATGATAGAAATTAATGTATCAATTAACATTTGAATAAGCAACTTGTTTTATAATTCATTAGGGTAGAACCTGTCGTGCATTAAACAGTAATGGCAATGAAACTCTAGCCACAGTCTGGTGTGCTCTATCAATGACGAGTGGTGATGAAAATTCACTCAGAGTAGAAATCAGCCCTTCAAGGAAAAGTAAGAATAAATGTTAAATATTCTTTAATCATGTTTAAACAATATAGTAATGTAATACTAAAATCAGATTTTATTGAAACTACAATATATAGGCCTATAGTTTGACCTTTTTTTATTTTTATTCAGTAGCTGTGTATATTAAAAGAGTTTCAAATTTCAAATTGAGTATGCCTACTTCTAAAATTTGAGTCGTAGATAGATAATTATTTATTTAATTTTAAAAATGATGTATGGAATATTGAATGTTGCTCTTTCTGTATATATATATATATATATATATATATATATATATATATATATATATATATATATATATATATATATATATATATATATATATATATATTCAGTTACCCTGGGTTTCTCCTGAGGGTTGTTGAAACTTTCAGTAAGCTCACTTGAAAATTCCAGAGGTGGGGCAATTGAAACTTTCAGGAGGGGGGGTGTCACTTTCAGGTTGGGGGAGGGAGGTTTTGAAACTTCCAGGGTGGGGGAGAAGTGATTTGAAACTTCCATGGTGCGGGAAAGGCCTTTGAAACTTCCAGGGGGTCACATAAAACTTCCAGGGTGGGGGAGGGGGCATTTGAAACTTCCAGGGGAGGGGGAGTCACTTAAAACTTCCAGGGGTGTGCAGCACTTTAAATTTCAGGGGTGAGTGTGGACACTTGAAACTTCCAATGAGGTTACTTGATAATTTCAGGGGGGGGGGTCACTTTAAACTTCAAGAGATGGGGCTATTAAACTTCCAGGGGGGGTCAAATGAAACTTCCAGTGAAGTCCCTTGAAACTTCCATTGGGGGGGGGGGGGAGGTCACTTGAAACTTCCAGGAGCAGACACTTGTTATAGTATACTTTTTCTATTTTAGCTTGTACATGGGCAGGGTAAAATGTTAAAGTAATAATTGATGTATGGTATGCTGTGGTGTAAAGTGAGTCATTGGCAACAGCACTAAATAAAATGTAATAACCAGGCCCAATAACTACATGAGAATTCATTGCACACAGTTTACTGCCTGTAATTAAATTATAAATTACTTACAAAAAAACAAGGTAGATTATAAGATTAGGTAATGAATTTATCAAACTTGAAATTACATTGATAATTAAAATATGAGTTCAAATTAATACAGTAAATGAAAAAACATATGTAAGCTCATGTTAACTGTTCCCAATGGGCTCAATCTGCAGTGCTAAAACCAGTTGTAAACATGTAGCAGAGCTAGTAAAAACTACACAAGGGTTTGCTGAGGCGTCAGTTCACATAATTAGAGAAATAGTTGGTGGCGGCCACATCTAGAATATCAGTATGATACCTTTACTGTCAAAGGTCCTCTCTTCCCCCTTCCCCCCAGGAGAGACGCCTGAAAACAAAAACACTGCTACTTTCTGTAAAGTGAATGCATTAAAGAAGAAATATTGTTAATTTAAATATTTAAATAATATAATATTACTAATTTTATTATTTTTTTTCAGTTATGATAATATATGCTAATAAAAGAGATTATACAACAGAATACTTAAGTAACCCTAATTTTTTTACATTTGATAATAAAATGATATTAAGAAAACAAAATGGAGCTTTAGAAGTGTCTCTTCCAGAAAGTAAGTTGCTTTTAATTTATATAATTGGAAATTATTTTAATAACATTGCAAGTTCAAACATTTACTACTTCTGAAATCAATATTACCATGAATTAGAGAGTGATGTATATGTAGATGTAGAAGGTGTAGATGTAGATATAGATGTAAATATATTAGTAGATGTGGATATGGATATGGATGTAGACAATACTTAATACTGTGTCTATTTATAAAATTAATTTCAACATCTATTGCAGGTATTGGGATGACTGTTACTCTGGTAAATGAATTACTAGAATTTTCCCTCACGCTAGACAAAAAATATCAGAAAATGACCACTGGTCTTTTAGGCAATTTTAATGGAGACAAAACTGATGATTTTATTTGCCCAAATGGAACACAACTCTCTGATGATTCAAGTGAAAAACAATTATATGAGTATGGCAAGTTATGTAAGTATAAAATACATTTTGTATATTTTAAAATACCATTAGTTACTAGCTCTGAACTTCTTTTAATATGATTTACATTTATTTTCTCATTTTTTAATTTTATTTTGTGTATGAATGTACTGCTCTATGTTTAATAAGATAAAATGTAACAAAATATCATGTATTTATTTAACTCTTAAAAACTATATATATTTTCACAGCATAGCAAAATAATATTTTTTTCAACAAGAAAAGTCATAAGTAGCAACATCAATAAAAATTATTTAGCCCTTTTTAAAAAAAATAAATAAAAAATATAAAACAACATAAAAATATATACAAATAATTTTGTACAAATTGCCCATTGATTTTTTTTTTATTTTCAGGGGCGATAACTCAGAATGAAAGTTTATTCCAGTACAGCTATGGACAAAGCACAAGTACTTTTTCTAACCCTAATTTCACACCATTATTTTATGATGAACAAAATCCTACAACAATAGCAGAAGCTGAAAAGATTTGTAATGGTTCAGGAAATCTTCCTTGTATTTTTAACTTCATTGCTACACAGAATGAAAAAATTGCTGAAATTTCTTTAAAGTCTTCAGTTCAGTTTGAAAAAGTTTCAGTTAGCACAGGTAAATGCAAAAACCACAACACAAGATTATAATTTTTAAGTTTCTGATTCCAAACACATTTAAATGCATTTAAGTTTTGTTGAAATTTATAAAAAATAGAAACATAACACTTAAGGTTTTGCTGATTTTATCCAAGAAAAAAACTTATTATTATTTTGTCAAAAGCATTCTGCTAACATTGAAATATATAAAGAGAAATAAAGATAAAAATTATAATTTAAATTGCAAAATTTTTAAAAAAGGTAACTTTATTTACACTTTAATAAAAATTTGTTAATATGAAAACGCTCATGAATATTTCGCACTATTTTAATCTTCAGCAAACCAAGCCCCATATATTATTGTCAATACAACACATGTTAGGGTTACTGTGAATCAATCTTTCAGCCTAACTCTAACAGCTTTTGATCCTGATGGTCAAGATGTTACTGTTGTTTTAATGACCAATGCTAATTACACTTTTAAAACTATTAATAAGAGAGACACATCAAAAGCTATTGCATCAACTTATTCAATTGTATTGTCTGACACTGAAACTCAGATCTTGTAAGCATACTTTATATTATAATAAATGTCTACATGTAATAATACACTATGTCTTTAAAATTAAATGTTACATACTTTTTCAAAGGGTTTGTTTTGTCTTAATAAACTTAAATTTTCTTTTGCTTAAATCCAGATTCTCATCATCTGATAGTAAAGGACTGCATTCAGAATCAGTAGCAATCAATATTTCTGCATATAGTGGATGTAGTTATTGTGGTACATGTGATGAAGCTAGGCTTACAGCAACATCAAATCCATATTTTTACTGGCAAGCATGTAACTGTAACATTGGATTTGCAGGTTTCTTTTAATTAATTTATATATATAATACTAATAGTTATAAACATAGATTATTTTTATTTTATAATGGTTTATTAATTTTTTTGTTTGAAAATTATTTTAAATATTTTGTTAACTAAGTTAATCTGAGTTTGAAGTTATCACAAAGAAAATAAACGTTGGTCTTTAAATATAAAAAAAATAATCTTTAATCTTACAAGAATATATTTATTGTAACTTTGTGAAATCAAACATTCCCCAAGTAGATCAAAATGAAAACACAATTTGACAGCTTTTTAAATAAGTTTTAGGTACTATTCTCTTGCCATTAGTATAAATATTTAACATCATTAATATTTTGTCTTAAAAAGTGATACTTTTATTTTTTATATTTAATTAAAAATCTATTATTCTGCCTAACCAGGGATGATTTATTTCTGCACGGTTTTGTGTAATGGTAAAATATTCTTATGTGTGTAGTATTCCAACTCTGACTAAATAAAAACTAGAATAGACTTTCAACTGTTAATGCAACCAACAGGTAATGACTGTGAACAAGACAATGATGGCTGTGCTACCAATCCTTGCCCCAGCATGAAAGGTTGTGTAGACATAGCAGCTTCAGAAGAACAAGTCACTGGGCTATCATACACATGTAAAGATTGTCCTATTGGTTATCAACTGAATTCTAAAAAAACCAAGTGTGAAGGTTGGTTTTTTGTAATTATTTAAGTTATATTTATCTAAAATAGTTAGAGTTCCATTGTATTTGTTGTTTGATTATTTCTTTAATATTTTAACCTCTCATGTTATGTTTGTTCAAAGATGTTGATGAATGTAAGATAACCCCACCTTGTGGTGCATATGCTGTATGTGAGAATAATTACGGCAGTTTTGTTTGTAACGGCCCAAAAGGCTTCAGAAAATCTGGATCAGTCAATTGTGTTGGTAAGTATTAAACATTTTAATGTGTAGCTATATTTGTCCTACTACATTAGATTAAAACTATATTGTTTAAATATTTACACTGATAATAATATCTTTTATTTATTTTACATAATACAAAAAATCTTTATTAAGCTTAAAAACATTAAATTGTTTGTAAGTAAATTTTAATAATATACCCACAGACATCAACGAATGCTCAGAGAAATTACATGAGTGTGATCAAATATGTGTTAACAACTTAGGCAGTTATGATTGCAGATGTTACCCAGGATTTGCTAGGACTGATGGCAAATGTGAACTGACAGAAAAGGGTATCTTAAAAAATAACTAACTTTATTAATAAGTTGTGTTTATAATAATGTATTAAATGATTTCTTCTGTTTTACTATCTTAAATGTTTCTATTTGATTATGAAGTATTAATAATAGCAAACATCTATTTTTCCATTGATAGACCCATGTACATTAATTAACAAGTCTTGTGAATACAATTGTCGAAATGGCAGCAATGGAGCAGAATGTTTTTGTGCATCAGGGTACAAATTAAAAGCAAACAACTATTCTTGTGAAGGTATTTTATTTTTTTCAAAGTATACATGCATGACATCAATATGAATCACTAATTTTTTTAAAAACTTTAACATACCCTGTGATGATATATTACTTTTGTTTAATTTTATCTCAGATATAGATGAATGCAAAGAGAAAATCTGTTCACAAATTTGTATCAACACAAATGGAAGTTTCAGTTGTTCATGTTACTCTGGATATACTCTCAACAAGAATGATTTGCGATCTTGTGACAGTATGTAATTATAACAATTTAAACATATGATATTTAGGCCTACAGCTTTGTTAGAAATGTTTCACCAGAAATGCACAATTTACAATAATTTTAAAATTAATTATGTAGTATTTAAATGGTACTTTTTACTAACATTTTTTTCAGCTAGTGTGTTATCTTCTATAAAAAATAGAACAGAAATATTTAATTAAACATCCATTTAGTGTTGTTTTAACCAATAAACCTCAATAAATATCTATCTTATCCAAAAAGGGTCCTCACTACTTATCCAAAATTGTCAGTGTTTTCATTTTTATTGTACTTTTAATAAAAGCAAGATATGAATTTTGTATTTCCCTGCAGAAGTAGAAAGTACATTAGAGAGTAGTAATTTTTCCATTTGATTTCCTTATCAAATGGAAATACTAACAACCGTTAATGAGAGGATTTTTTGGTTTAGTAAAAGAATATGTTATTCAACTTAAAGTACATTTACTTTTTATGACACTCATTAAATAACTTATTTTTTTAAATACTTAAATTTAATGAATTAATGTGAACATTATTTTAAAAAGCTAAATTCATTTTTATTTTCAATGACTTGGGCGAACAATTTTTTAACTAGAGGTTTTTAACAGTATTTAATAAATTATTCACTTGTCAAGCCTAAATATTTAAATTTGCAACTAGTTTATTTCACTTCTTTTTGATCAGTTTTATTTTGTTTCCAGCATGTCAAGGCAACACCTATGGTTACAACTGTAGCAATACATGCCAGTGTAAAGGACGGGCTGTAAGATGTGACAATGTTAAAGGCTGTATCTGTCAAAGCAATTGGAAAGGAGAAACATGTGAAATAGATGTGGATGAATGTGCTATAAAACCTGATGTCTGTCCTGCGGATCATAAATGTATAAATACAGAAGGCTCTTATACTTGTGACTGTCCTGTGGGTTATGAAGATATAAATGGAACATGCATTAGTGAGTTACTTTTTTTTTCCAATATTTTATAATATATTTTCAGTTGCAATGTTTTATGCATTGATATTCAGTTTCCATAAATTGCTTTAATTAGTTATTCAAATGATTTTAGTCATGTATATTTATATTTAAATCAGAAATAAAATAGAATATTGAGAAATTTACTTCTTTTCTATTCATTAGTAATAGGCTAACAGTTATCCGTTATACCATTGTTGTGTTGTATTTTAAAATACAAAATTATTTAACTATTAAAATTGTTTAAATAAAATTAAAATACATTGTGCTGCCTAATGTAAGTGGCATTTTTGAATGTGTTGTTTTTACCCCAAATTTGTTTTCTCATAACTGCTGCTGTTGAACTGAAAGGTATAGTATTGCTCTAAATACTAAAATACTAAAAAATGGGAATGCATGGTGTGATAGATTGTAATCACTGACGAGGAGCCACATTGGTTGTTAACAGTCTTTATTTACAGCCATGAGGAAAGAGGAAGGAAGTACAATGCACAAGGGACATCACTCAAGATAACAATATAAATATAATACTAATACAGAAGAGTGAGTTCCCTTGACCTCACAATTATCTCAATCTATTACATCCCTTTACCCTTAGAACACAATAACACATCTCTCAATAGAACAATTGATAGTATCCTAAAATCACCAATTATATTGTAACATGAACACTATGGTAGATTACATCCTTACAAACAATGCACAATATGCTCCAACATAATCAAGATACAAAACAATGATGTCAAAGTCCTTTTGACCTTTAAAATCATAGGTCTAACTTATTTGGGACTTTGATTGTCCTGCTTGACCTTCTCAGTGGCTTTTGATTTGGTGACTCAAGATTCTGACCATCTGGATTCTCTATCTCAGGAGGTCTAGGATTTAAATCATTAACTCCAGAATTTACATTTTCTGACTCCAGACAACTTGGTTCACTCATATCAACAGAACTTGGTTGTGGAACAAACTGAGTTGGTGTGAACTGATCAGATTTGGTGGGATTGACAGATTCACACTTATTATCTGCACAAGTTATTTTTAACTGGTCTGCATGTCTACGGACAATAAGTCCATCATTTGTTTTTACTTTATAAGACACAGGTCCTGTACATTGAACAATTTGACCTGGTATCCATTTTTCCCTTCTCCCATAATTTCTTAGATACACATTATCATTAACTGCAAATTCTCTTTCAATGGATGATTTGTCATGATTTACTTTTTGTGTATGTTGATGTTGGGAAACAGACCTTTGAACAGTTGGATGTAGTAGGTCAAGATGAGTTTTAATTTTCCTACCACATAACAATTCACATGGTGCAACACCTGTTGTTATATGAGGAGTTGTGCGGTATTTGGTTAAGAACCTGTTTACTCTTTCATTGTCACCTTTAGCTTCTTCTGTTTGGTATTTACCTTTGATGTTACCCTTTTAGTTTCTTTAAGTGCTAATGATGTTAGCAAAGTTGTTTGATGATCACATTCCTTCTTACTAATGTATTCTCTTTGAAAGCATTTGAAATTGCCATATCACCATAATCATTTATTAAGTTACAAATACTTTGTTTAGGCAACTCTGACTGATAATGGACTGCATCTTCTCCATCTTTTAGATTATCTTCACAAAGGGTTTTATTTCTTATTTAATATGGCCTTAAGTCATCATTCACAGACTCTTCAGGCCAACCATTCTTACAGTGCTCATATACTTTTATTAAGCACTCATCTTTTTGTGTTTCTCTTTTAATATCATTCACATTTATATTGGAGTTATCCATGATAGTGAAGAGAACAAATACATCTTCTGGTACATAGCTCAGGCTTTGGTTTTTTAAAGGTAATCTACTAAGACTATCTGCACTATTCTCAGATCCAGGTTTGTATTTCAATTCATAATTGTATGCAGTTAGTGTGATAGCCCATCTTTGAATTCTTGGTGAGGCATGCTCAGGTAGGGTTTTGTTTTCTCCAAATAAACCTAGCAATGGTTTATGATCTGTAAAGATGGTGAACTTCCTACCAAACAGAAACTTATGAAATTTCTTAACACCAAAAATGATGCCTAAGCCTTCCCTATCTAACTGAGAATAATTTTTCTCAGCCTGGTTCAAAGATCTACTGGCAAAAGCAATGGGTCTGTCACCCTTCTCATCCATGTGGGACAAGACTGCTCCTACACCATCTGGTGAAGCATCACATGTTAATATAAGTCTTTTCCCTGGGTCATAGTGAGTTAGTAAGGTGTCAGCAGACAAAGCCTCTTTTGCTGTATTAAAAGCAGCTTCTTGTTGTTTACCCCAGTGCCAAGTTGCATTTTTCTGTAGCAGCTTGTACAGTGGTGATAGTTTACCAGACAGATTTCCTATGAACTTTGCATAGTAATTTATCAAGCCCAAAAAAGCTCTTAGTTGTTGGGTATTTTCAGGTTTGGGTGCTTCTTTAATGGCTTTTGTTTTCTCAGGTTGAGGTCTGATACCTTGCTTGCTTAATATATAACCAAGAAAACTAATTTCTGTCAGCATGAATTGACATTTATCTTTGTTTATCTTTAAACCTTTTTCACCAACAATTTTCAATACTTTATCAAGTGTTTTAAGATGTTCAGTGTCATTCTTACCAGTTATGTACACATTGTCAAAGTACACACAAACATTTGGAATGTCCTTAAAAATACTGTCCATGACAGCTTGGAAAATTCCAGGGCTGGATGATATGCCAAAACATAGTCTTTCGTATTGGTAGAGTCCTTTATGTGTGTTTATTGTCGTATAGACTTTTGAATCTGGATGCAGTTCTAGTTGAGTGTAAGCATGACTAAAGTCTAATTCAGTGAATTTGTCTCCTCCTGCCAAATTCAAAGAAATTTCCTCAATGTTAGGAATAGGGTACCTATTTAGCTCTATTTGCTTATTCAGTGTAGTTTTATAATCTCCACAAATTCTTATAGAACCATCCTTCTTTAACACTGGCACAATGGGCGTTGCCCAATCGGAATAGTCTACCTTCTTTATGATGCCATTAGATTCCAATCTACTTAGCTCATTTTCAATTTTATTCCTCATTGCATAAGGTGGAACTCTAGCTTTGCAGTATCTTGGATTTGTGTCTTTAATGCTTATCTTCACTGTTCTATCATTTAGTAAACCTGAATTGCCAAAAACACTTTTATTTTCAGATATTACTTTATCTAGTGAAGTAAGACTAGATTCTTTTCCATTGACCACTGAAAATATACTCTCCCAATTTAACTTAAGATCACTTAACCAGTTCCTACCTAGTAATGGTGGTCCATTTCCTTCAACCACAAGAAGAGGAAGTTTAACACTTTGACCATTATAACTTACATGAACCATACACTCTCCTATTACCGGAACATTGTCACCAGTGTATGTTGTTAGACACTTGTGACATGGCTGTAGAGGCACTGATCCTCCTGTGACAGCGTCAAAATCTTTCTTTGTTATGACTGTTAGAGATGCTCCAGTGTCAAGTTGGAAGCTGATGCTCTTACCGTTGATATAAACTGGTACATTGATGGGAGCATGACTTATTGATTTCACAGAGAACAGGTTGAAATCCGGCTGCGAATCAGTTTGAGCATTTTCACAGGTAGAGTGGTTCATTGGTTGGGTTAGGTAGTCTTGGTGAGAGTTAACATAGTGCTGCCTTTGGTTGCGGTACTGTCTTGACTGGCTAGATTTAGCAACAGACGAAGACTTTGCAAAGCAGGCCTTGGCAATGTGACCTTGCTTACTGCACTTATAACAAGTTGCAGACTTGAACTTGCATCGATGAGATGCATGGGGACCTTTGCATCGATGACATTTTTGATAATTATTACTAGATTTAGATCTAGGCTTTAAACGTGCAGGCTGTTTAGCATAAGTTGGAATGCTCTGATGGGGTTGGTGTTTGTTGACTAACCTGCTGTTTACTGCATGTATCTCTGAAGGCGTTAGAGATTTCGCCGCCTCTGATGACTGCTGGAATGAAGTTGTTAGTTTTATTGCTTTTTCTAATGTTAGATCTGACTCGAGCAGCAACTTTCTTTGAACATCAGGGCTGTTTAGACCTGTCACAAACTTTTCACATAGTCTGTCAGACAGCGTATCGCCGAATTTACAAAATTTACTTAGATGACGTAAAGCAGCAACATATTCTGATATTGACTCGTTTGGTTGACGAGTCCTACTGTCAAATCTAGCTCTACATAGAAACTTTGATGGGGTAGGCGCATGGTGGTCTGTTAGCAATTTGCTCAGCTCGTTAAAGCTCTTGGTAGTTAGACTAGCTGGTGCGCATAAGTCTTTTAGTAGCCTAAATTGTTGAGGCCCTATGACTGTTAACAAAACAGCTCTCTTTCTGGCTTCTATCGTCACGTCGTTAGCTTCAAGGTAAAAGCTTAACCTATCTAGGTAATCTTGAATGATTTCATCATTCGAATCAAATTCTTTTATTTGGCCATACAGCGCCATTATTCTAGAAATACTTAGCTAATAAGCTCTAGCAAACCTCTTTTTTGCGTAAGTAGGTGCTCTTTCTAGTAGATTATTTATCCTTCGTCGCCAATGTGATAGATTGTAATCACTGACGAGGAGCCACATTGGTTGTTAACAGTCTTTATTTACAGCCATGAGGAAAGAGGAAGGAAGTACAATGCACAAGGGACATCACTCAAGATAACAATATAAATATAATACTAATACAGAAGAGTGAGTTCCCTTGACCTCACAATTATCTCAATCTATTACACATGGCCTACATTGTTGAGCACTAGGCTGCTAACCTGCAAGTCTTGAGTTCGAAACCAGTTTCAAGTCAGTATAATGTCCCCAGAGGCGTAGCGAGGGGAGGGACATACATCCCCGGGCGCCGACCTTAGGGCCGCCAAAATGGGTTGGAAAAACAAATTGAAATTTTGAGGGGAGTGCAAATCAAAAGATTGAGGGGGGGGGGCAAATCGAAAAGTTGTCCCTGGGCGCCGGGCAAATTGCTGACCGTGCCTTCCCTTCATATGCCTAGGTCAAGAAATATATGAATTCTACTTCATCGGTGCAATGAATTCTTTACTTTTTTACTTTAAACACGAAAAAACACCTTTCAAACTTGACATTTGTTTTAGTATTTATT